AAAATAGTGCATTTATGGAGAGGGGGAAAACTTAACTGCAAATCGCAAAGAAAAGTAAAAGATTAACAATACTTCCAGGTGTCTGTCTAATCATATTTTGGGTTGTGTGGGGAATTCAGGAGTTGGACTGAGGAGATTTTTAGGGACTTTAGTTAGTTTGCATGCTAGAGACAGAAAAGGCCTATTTTCACCTGACTTTTTCCAGCAGTCATTAATATGGTGCCTGAGGCAAACACAAATCAACCGTTGTTCCTTCAAAGTTAAAAGTTGCCGGGGTTCACTGTTAACAGAGACTGTAAAACATCTATTTGCACTTTCGCACCTCTAATTTGACTCTGCTGGTGAAACTCAGACAAGAATTCAGAGCAGACCGAGTTAGGTACTGTATAATTTAAACAGCAATGCAGCCAGACCAGCGGGTGGCCTGATCGTGAGCGTTTGCTGTGTACTGTGATTCCGAGGGATTTTGTTCTGCTGTTCGCAGCTCGGTGTGCCGGGTTTACAACGTGAAGCCCTCATTAGCGTTAATGGTAATTCTGTGATGGAAATGCTGGAAAAAGAAACTGCACGGAGACGTTGCCTGATGCCGTGAGTGCTGTGGCGAAAGTCTGTGTAAATTCATAGTGTGGCCAAATGTGAGCTGTAAGGGCAAGTCATACACAGCAAATGGTAGATGCAAAGAGCCAGAAAAGCATTTTAAAAGCTCTCAGAGGCATTTTTCTCTCCCTCTTTAAAAGAGCCTATAGACTGTCCTAACAATAATGACTGGTTGTCATTAAGGGTCTGTCTCTGGGCCAGCTACGAATCCCAGGAAATGGCCATGTGATGTTACTTCTGCAGCTTAAAAGCACAGCTTAAGCTGTATTATGAGAAAAAGAAAACCATTTCAGCAATGCGCTGGTATTTTTTGCCTTCGGTGGTTTTGGTGGGGGGAAAAAGTAAATTGAGGAGCATTGATACCCCCAGGCATATGATTTATTACCCCACCAAGATGCTGAAAAGATAAAAGCTCCTTGAAAAGCATGTTCTGAGGGGCAGCTAAAGGAGTAGGGAAGATTGGAGGACTGACCTATGGGGCAGCTGAAGTTTTATTTGGTCATTATCGTAGAGGAAGCTGTGGTAAGACTTTTTGCCAACAAACCACATGGAGCTAGAAAATAAGTAGTTCGCGGTGACATTTAGAGAGATGTATCATTTTGCAGCAGGCCATCAGCCTCACCTGCACTCTTTTCTCCATTAGTTATTTGTATTATCTCTCTTCATTTCTCCAGCTCTCTTCTGACTTCAAATAGCAGTCACAACCTGCTTGTTCTGACAGTGTGCAAGTGTGATATGAAGACCCTTGGGAAAAGCAGATGTGCCACCCTAAGAGGCAAATTGTATTTTAGGACCAAGTTACAAATTTTTCCTAGGGTACCTTAAAAATGGGTGTGAAGAGGTGGAACTCCAAAGATTCTGATCTTTAAGGTCTAGGGATAATCAAGTAAACACAATGACTCTACTTGTCCTCAGCATGTCATTTATTTCCTCGTCTCCTGTTGATACACCTGTATACTTACGATTCTGCCTGCTGTAAAAGATAAAACTAAAATTTGCTTTCTATGCCAGCTGTTGGTTTTTGGTTTATTTTTTTCCTGAAATAGGAGATACCCTTCTTGTTAGACCTGTATTATGTGCTTCAGCTTGCCATAATCACAAAGCACATAGAATTTTTGTTCAAACCCGGCCTGGCTCCCTCCTAGGGAGCAATTTCACTTTACAAAATCAGCTTATAATTACCTAAAATTTGCCACAGGAAATTACTATGTTTTTTAAATGCTTTCCCCTTTAAAAGAAACTGACTGTGGAAGTCCAGATTTAAAAAGTGAAGGGTTGGTTGTGCTGTTTGGAGGAAGGGATGGGAAGAGAGGCTACTGTAGTATGCAGTCCGGGATCATGTGTGCACAACTCCTCTGTGTATTTGCAGAATACCACCCTTCGTGCAGAAGAAGTGGCAGGACGTTTTTCTTTTATTTGTCTCTGTTCTTGGATTTTACAAGTTAATGTATCCCTTTCATGTATCCCTTTCTCACCAGGCAGCAGCTGACCAGATGAGATTTCCATGCTATATTGGGAAGGGTTCTAACGATGTTTTCTGTGGTCTTTGTCATTACTATGTGGTGCAGCAAAACTTTCCCTGTGTTGTGACAAAAAGCTGTGCTAATGGTAACAAACTATCATTCCCCTGCTACTGCAGATGACTCAAAGGTTAATTCCAACTGTTAACATAATGGGCACATCCAGAGAAAGCTTTCAACAACAGGGCATTTTGTAACTGGTATGTCACTGTTAAATTTTGTCTTTCTAACCCGAGTTTTGCTGATTTTTTTCCTGGACACCACATGTCAGTAAATACAACTCTGCAGATAGACACACAGTCAGGATGAGCAGGATAGAAAGTCTTTCCATGACTGTTGAAAGATAACACGATGGGGTATATCGTAGTTGGTCAAAGCAACAACATAGAGTGAGTTCAAAAAAAAAAAAAAAGGAGTGGGGAGAAAGAAGAAAAGAAAAGAAAAGACGGAGGGAAATGTTCTATTTCACTTCCCCTGAGCAAACATGTAATTTCCATGATTTCTTTTTAATGACTCTCTTCTGAAGCTAGTAGGTACTGATTTATGAAAAGCTGTAAAAGATCAGGTGGAACCCTGCAGGACGTCGTTTACAGCTGCACGGATTGCAACCCATCTAATTTGTCTAGTAAAGTGTGAGCTCATGGCGCACATCACCCAGACCATAAATTTCATGTTCAGACCTTCTGTCTAGGGGCTGGGTCAGGGGGAGAAAAACTGCCGATGTGTGCAGATGCTCTGAAAGCCCAGCTTTCCCTTGGTGCATGCGAGGAGACATCACAGACTCTTCACAGTGAGACAAATTCCTGTTCATTGATAAACTGTCCAGATGTCCTCTCAGAGGAGGAAAGTAACTAATTTTTGTTTGGAATCCTACAAGGAGAAAAATGATACTTTACAGTGCTGGTTATTTTGAGGTCACTTGCATTAAAATTAGGTCATATTTTTTGTCCTTATGATACTTTGATCCAAGTAATAAACATAAAAGCTCTTTTGGGCCACTCTAATTCCTAATCCTAGAGACCTGTTCTATTTCAACTTGTTTATACTTTTTTTTCATTAATGATTCTTGAGTCAGGCCTCATTTTATTAGATTTAAGTTGAAAAGACATACTAGGCTGGAAAAAAAAATCTTCATGCTTTATCACTAAGAACACTTCATAAATACTCTTAATAAATGTCTTGGGATTCCAGACGGTATACCCAGAAAACTATAAATAAAAAGCATTGGCTCTTCATGGGACAAACAGTAGTCAGGGAGATGCAGGCTGTACAGCTACTGAATAAAAATATTTGGGCCTGATTATCTAAACTGAGCCTTTAACTGGAGGCTGTTTAAAGCTGTCTAACACATAGGTGCCTAAGATCTGGTTTCAGCATGAGAACAGAAACCTGGAGTGTGCTGCATCTTCTGTCCTTAGCTCAGTCCATGTGTCAGTGCGGCCATGCTGTGCTTTCCCTTCTTTACTGTTCTGGAGGCAAAGCAGGTTTCTGGTGTCTTCTGTCCCTTTCCTTTCCATCTACGGCTGCTCCCAGGGTGTGAGGTCCATGGTTGGTGCCAGTGATCATGGTCATTTGCAGCAGCTCCTTGTCCTGGCTGGGCTCCAGAGGGAGGGTAGTCAGGCAAAAGGTGCCTGGTCAGGGACATCGCTGCTCTGAGACCTGATGAAAATTGAAATGGGAGAGGAAAAAAGCTAAATAATGACTCTTCAGCAATGACAGTTCAGTAAGAAAGTTTCAGTCTTGATGCTTTCAAATAAGAAATTACAGTATGCTCAGAAGACCATGAAAACAAGAGTATTCATACCAGACAGAACTGAATTTCTGGATCAATATGGGAGCAGCCGTCTTTGCCATTTGCAATATGAAAAGTGCAGGGTCAGCTGCAATATATTCCTTCTTGATGAAAAATAATATATTTAATCATTGTTTTGAGAAGGGTATTTTTTTCTCAATAGCTTATAGGTAGACTTATGCAAATGGAAAAAGGTTTAAAAGGACAAAGAAGCATGGACATATGTTTTGTTTGATTTATTTTGTTGGTTTTGTTTGTTTCTTACTGGTTTCTTCATTGTTTTCTAAGTAGAGAACTTGGATGCAAATCATGTCAGTTCAGCATCCTTTATGAGCACCAAAGGCAGGAGAGGAGTCAGTTCTCACTTCTAAATTGGTTGTATGATATCGTTATAGAAGTTTCAGTCTTAGAGTAAGCATCAATTTTAAACTGGACACAGCACTTGCATTTTATGTTTGGCTAAGTGTATTTAATAACAAATTTCCCCATTTCTGCTTCTGTGCACTGCAGAATGCAAGTCTTGTGCAGTTACATTTGCCTTACAAATTCACTTAACGTTTGATTTTTAGCCTTGGTACAATTTTTTTAAAGCCACTGCTGTCTTATTATTTGTGCTTCTAACTTAATAGCAGCATTTGGGATTTGTCAGTGGGCTGCAATACTGTGAGCATTTGAGATATGTAAATTCTACCCACACACTCAACTTGGAGTCGAGTGCGCATCATTTGTGTGTTTTTTGGGACCAGGTGAATCACATAAATATAATCTAAATTAGGCTTTTCTTTACTAATGCTTCATACATTAAATTGTAAGGTAACAATACACGTTATGAATTGGTGATGCTTCAGTGATTTAAACGTGAGCATGAGAAGCTGGTGCTCTTAAGCAAGGTGATTACACAACGTTCTTCAAAGCTGCCAGCATGAGTGCCTACGGTGGCCTCAGCAGCAGATAACTTCCACAGATGAACGGAAAAGCCACATCTAGCCAGGAAGCTCCTGCCAATGTCAGTGCTAAGTCTAAAAACTAAAGAAATCCATACGTATCCCCCCCTGCTCCCTAACTTTTATCACATTCTTTTTTTATTTCAGGCCATCAAATCTTCTCCTGGACCAAAGTAACGTTGACATTTCAGCCTTCCGTACGGCAGGTGATTGGCTCAATGGTTTTCGAACAGGACAGTGCAAAGACATTTTCACGGGCGTGGAGTACAGTTCCTGTGATACAATAGCCAAGATTTCTACAGAGTAAGTTTGAATTGACTACAGCTCTTAATCACTGGTGGTGGCTGGTACAAGCCAGGTACAAGATTAAACATAAGCATAAGAGTAGTGATTTTTTACGGAGTTTCCAGTTTTTAGCTAAAATATTCTTACATTTAAAGAGACAAATGTAAATTATTGTTGTAGTTGTAATACACATGCAGGAAACCTAGATGCTGTGGTGACTGTGTGAAGGCCACGGTCAAATAGATGCCAAGGAAATTCCTAATTTCTTCTGATAAGAGTAGCACCATGCATCATCTGATGCACCAGCATGACTTACTTTCACCCACAATTTAGGAGTTTCTGTGTTGATTCTTTATATTCTGCCTTTTATGTAGGGGTTTCCCCACAGCTGGCATGTGTGCCAGTCTTCTCCTTTATTGCACATCCCATATTCCATCAAACCAGGTGAGACAGAGCAAGCACTATGTAGTTGCTTTCTTCCTACATGGTAGTAACTATTCAGGGGATGAACTCTCTTCTGCCTCTAGTTTTGACATTTAAACATGCTAAGCTTTTAAGTTTACAACTTGCAAGTTTATTACATTTAAATGCAATCTGTCTTAGTTCTTGTGATGAGGAAGAGTAGGGTAATGTTCTCTCTGCACCTGAAAAGGCATCAAGTACAGTTATGAACTTACTGTCAAAGGAAATCTCAACTCCCTGTTGGGCTAGCTGGATGCACGACAAGTTATGAAGAAGTAAGCAGCAGCTGCAGTACCGACAATTAAACATGTCAATGCCGTTAATTAGTGTATTATTGCAACTATAAAAAGGGCTGCTAATGGCTTTTTGTAACAATTGCCCTTTGGGGACAGTGCAGAAATCCTCTAGGAATGCCCAATTTCCTGTGAGCCTGTGTTAGTCCTCCGCAAGTGTTAAACCACTTCTGTGTTGCACAAGGAACAAAGAGACTGGACAGCCTGGAGAAACAAGAGGTGAAAAATGGGGTAGATGCTGGAAGCTTGGCCATGTAGCTGTTAATCTCAATGCTGATACCAGAGTTAAGATGACGGTTCAGAGGGCTCGGCGAGATGTCAGCGCTGCTGATGAGCAGCAATCAGGCTGGGAGGGGGATGGAGATGGTAGAGAGGCTCAGAGATGGCAGCTGGCCCAGAATTAAACACCTTGCCCCTAAGTGCCAGTGTGTGTATCACTGGAAAACACTATTTCATTGTTTTTCTTCCAGGTAAGCAAACACAAGAAGGCTAAACAAGTTTTTACTCTTGTTTGTGGCCTGCCGCTGTTTTCATACAATGGCTCTTACTATTTTCCATATGAGAGTTTGTGTTTCAGCAGTATTGCCATAGCTGGAGGCTCCTCCAGCGTAGCAATATAATATAAGATGAGCGAGTTGATTTCTGTTTGCTCACGTCAGCCCTAGGAAACACAAAGACAGTACGCTCACTCACCCGGTGCATCTTCTCTTTTTTCTAGTGACACGAAGAAAGTCGGCGTTACAGTTGTGGGACCTCAAAAGAAGATTGTTAGCAGTATCAAAGCTCTAGAAACTCATACAAAGAACAGCCCTGTTCCTGTGTAAGGTACCAAAATGATGTTGAGCAGGAGAGGAAAAAAGGAGAAAAATTGCATCACAGGGCAAAAGCGATGGCTGATAAACAGCAGAATTTAAAGAAGTTCTTTGCAAGAGCTTTGGAAACATAATGGTTGAAATTTCAAACCCACTAAGACACTCAAATATTGAGTATAAATGCCTTAAAAATAGGAGTGAACTTGTTTTCTATCTGATAATCCTAAAAGGTGGGTGCTCTTGACTGACTGTTAATACAGATAGTAAATTTCAAAAGAAAAAATATGTAAAAAATCCTTCCAAGTAAAAACCAGTGATACTAAAACCTAGAGCCATTTCAATATTAAGTGACTGAATAACATGGAAAACCCATGGACGTAAAAGCTGTGTATTTGATCTATACAGCAAATAAGAATAAAGAAAGACTTGCAGTATTTTTATACAGAAGAGATCTGTAACAGGTATTTTATTTCTTTAAAAGCAAGGAAAATAGAGGACTATACCTCACTACCTGTCTGGCCATATTTACTATAATGTCATTGTAACATGCTATTTCAACTTCAGAAAGGAACACAGAAATAAAGTTTGTAGTGACTTTGAGTTAGTTGACAAAAGATTTTTGCTGTTATGTTAGCTACCCTAATTGTGTTCATTTAAACAGAAACAAGTCTGAATTTTTAAAAGACTTATTTATTTCCTTTGGGTTTTTTTTTTTTTCCATTATTGTTTATATTTATGCTTAAATACTTTAACCTGGCTGTATTATTGCCAAGTGCCAAATGTTATCAAAACTTCATTGGTTCAACCTGAGAAATTGTCTGAGGGTTAATTACTAGATTATTTCACATTCCTAACATCCTATATGAAATACATAAGGAAAGAAAGGTGGTCTTTTTTCCAGCTCTGACTCTGCATAAAGCATCTGGACGTGTTGATATTCCTTCCGTTTGCTGTGGGTGGTATTTTAACCCTGGCTTGAGTTCTGGCAGACTTGCGTGCATATTGATCTCTAGGTCAGTATCTGGCCCGGTCAGGTACACACATCTCATTTACTTCCCAAAGGCCTGCTCCCCTGTCAAAATAAGAACCCCTGTTCTCGAGCCATGTTCCGGTGGGAGATTCACCTAGCAAACATTAAAAAGAGTCAGGGTTGCATCCTGCGTTAGCAGAGGATGCTTTTTGAGTTCCGTGAGGAGTGGTCCATTTCTGTAGCTTCCATCTGGCAGGCTCTGTTCCCGGTCTTGGGAGCTGGGAGGTGCCCTACCATGTGGGTAGCCACTGGTAGTTACACTGAGATGGTGTCCTGCAGCCAAGGATAAGTGGATGGTTTAAAAGGGTGACTGAAGCTTGTGAAATGGGACTTTGGTATGTAATTTTACCTAAGTCTGAGCTAGAAGATCTCGGTCCAGGCACTGCCATCCTGCAGCAGCCTTGCTATTTGCCACAGGTTCCTTAGACGCCTGTTCCTTAAACGAAAGCAAAGAAACATATCTTTAGGACAGCGTTCACATTTCCTGGGGGGGAAAAGGAGGCTGGAAGGTGGCATTTGAGAGTCCTCCCCCATCTCAATAGCAAGCTTTTAAGCTGTTGCTCTGGAGCACATCGGTCCCAGTTCTGAGTAGGCATGACTCTTCTACTGAAAGTGAGTGGTTTAAATCACAGTGTGAGACACCTCTTGTGCTTCTTAACACCCTAGATGTGATGCCAGGCACGCAGAGCTCAGGCTTTAGGCCCTAGTGGAAACCACTCTGTTTCCCAAATTGCCATGCTGGAATCTAAACCTGATTCTGATGAATAACAGTGAGTCCCCTCTAAGTCCAAGGCTGTGTGGGAGGCAGATGTGGCACGCCGCCTTTCACCGCGTATGCAGAAGCAGGTAACTAGTTGTGCTTTCTTTGTTGTATTGGTTTGGTTTTTGAAGCTCCTTGTAGCATAGGGCACACAAGTAAGGGGAGAATCAGTTCCTAGGATTTCTGTGGCTGAATCAGCTTATAAATTGTTCTTCGTGGTTCCAGGACTTATAAAATGTAGAGACACAACGTTTATCACACATTGCTAAATAGAAGCAGAATTAGAGACTTTTTAATGAGTGCTGGCAGTGAGCATGCTGTAAAGGACTGGATTTGAAACACGCTCACAGGATAATAATTAGTAATATTTTCTAAAAGAAAAATGAGTGGGTTTTAAAGTAAGTTGAAATAAAAAAATGGAAGAAAATTAAAATAAAGCACTTAAGATGTAAAGAACACTTCTCCTTGTCTGCCACAGTCTATCATCAAATGCAGCATGCTGAATAGAAAAGCTGTATTTTCCGTTGCTTAGTTCATTCAGAATCTTTCGTTTCTTCAGTTTGAGATTGCTCTAAAGCAGACATTGTTAGTGCATTTAAGTCACCAGAGTCCATTTGCAGACATTGTCTGTGTGGGAACAGCTTTTTATAACATATTCCTCATGACATTTCTCTTCAGCTTCATTCTGCCACTGGAGAGTGTGGGAGAGGGGCCTGGGGTGGGGGGAAGACATCTGTGAAATGCTTCTGAAAACACAGAACCAGTTCTTAGGGTTTTAGATGACGACTGAAAACTTTGCACCAACCACCCTTCATTTTCTCGTAGTATCATGTCATGTTCCTTGCCCACTGTTTGAGCATGCTCAGCATAAAAGATTATATCTCACTGATGCTATGGAAAAATAAACTCAATTTTGCTTTTCTTTGCTATTAGGAGTAGAGAGTTTTAAAATACATTTAATTTTCTCTCCCTGTGAAAAGCTGATTTGTACTGTAAGTGGCCTCTGTTGCAAGCATCCTATACTCCCTGTCCCCGTGTACATATGTATACATAGCAGTGTACAATTCTTCATTGTGGAGTAGAGATACTAGAATTCGTGTGGCCATCTTCCTGTACAGGACTTGCATCGGTTATCGACATCAAGCAAAATGCAACTACTCATAAAATGACATGCCATATTATTGGTTTTGTATCTTTAAATATAGTTTCCATTTTATTTATTTCTGTTAACATATCTAGTTTTGTGCTGTTACTTAGCATTCAATAAGCAATGTATAGTTGTGATTTGATTGGCAGTATGTATTTACGTTAACTTGTATTTCAAAGCATTACTTACTCATTTAGATTATATATTGTGCAATTGTAGATGGCCTCTTACTAATGTAAAATGATTTGTAGTGGAAACATTTATATTTTTATAATAAACATAATGAAAGTATTTTTTACATACTGGAATACTGAGGTGATTGCTTGGAGGACAAAGTAAATTTATTTGATTAGAAAAGTGTGATAAAATTGTAATTAAATATGGATAAATTCTGAGTGTTAAAGCATGGGTTCAGAGTGAAAGCTAGATATTACCTATATTATCTATTAAAAGAAACAAGTAGTGCAGGTTTTAACTAGATAGACCAGCGTTTGTGCTAAACTGACTTATATCAGTCAAAGACTTTACTTTCTCTGTGGATACGGGAAAACATCGTCTAATACAGCCTGCCTATGGGATATTGAAAAAGCTGTCATTTATTTTAGTTGTATCAAGTATTTCCAAACTTTTGCTTTTCTTCCTCCCTTGCCAGTGGACCTCTTTTCATCTTATTACTATGTTGAATCCAGTAAAAGATGTACTTTTCAACAAAATAAAAAAGCCCACCGCTTACTGTAATTTAACCCCATGATCATTTCTTGCCTCTGAGTATCTGTATTAGATAATATTTTGCTCCTGTTTTGTTTTGTCCCTACCAAGTTGTTTCTGTATGCTTTACTGAAGTGCAGTGTCTTTGAAAATGCCAACATACAGCTCAACTTTGCATCTCAGGAATTATCGTCCTAGAAAAATAGGAATGGTTTGAAAGTTCACCAGTTATTCGAGGAGTGAAGTTACAGGATCTTTCTGTACCATAAATGGTTTTGCATGCTTTTGTATATTACTGTGCTTACTGGTGCAAAACAATGCAATATACCTGTCCTGGATTCTGTAAGTTGATAAACTTTATGGACATGGATGTAGCATACTTTTTTTTTTTTTTTTGGCATTTTGTCTTGGTATCTTCAATAGAAAGGGGAATCGCCAAAAAGACCCACCCGGAATTAGACTTAACTTTAAGTGACAACAGCTGGACTGAAATCCAGTCTTGCTACGTAACACCAGTATTCCTCAAGCTGTGCTGCAGTGGGTACATACAGGGTCATTTTAAGTTCTAATGAGTGGGTTTCCATGCTGTACTTGAACGACAGGGAAGCAGCTTTGTTGGTCAAATCTATGCAGTATGCAAACTATTTACATTACGAATAGGTTTCGCTTCAGCAATTGTGTTACACTGACTTCCATCTATCCCTTTAGCCTTACTGGTATATTGTATTTGCTTTATATTCCAAAGGGCACAGTGGATATTAAAGCTTTTATAAATGTTGTGTTTATTGTAAAACAGTATCAATACTCACAGCCAGTTCTGGAATGGCAGTAGGATGCATTCACATGAAGAGTAGCAGAACAAACAAATGCCTTGCAGCCCACCACCATGTCTCAGCTCAGATCTGGAGGGATAAATTGCTGATAATCAGTTCCAAAAATTCAGATATGCCTTTTTTTTTTTTTTTTTAAGTAATGTCCAAGTGATGTTTTTCCACTTTGCATTCCTTCTTAAGGATGATGCCCAGACCTAGATATCTACACCAGTAAAAGCTTAAGCAGTGCCAAACGGAATCAGACAATGACTTCTGCTGTCTCCCAACCCTGTTAATTCAGACAAATATCCATATTATTGACTTCCCTTCATTTTCTGAGCCACTATAATTCCTCAGATCCTCTCCAAACTGTCACTGCCTGGTCAGTAATTCCCCATTTATACGTGTTCCTTTACCAGTCCTCAGTCCAATTCTGTGTGTATTTCTTAAGGAATTTTGCTTTCTTAATATAAAAATATTTCTCCTAGAAATATTTCCCTCAGACTTGATTCATTCACACGTATAAATATGCACATGCTTATCATCCAGGTTACTAATGCAAACAATGAACGGCACAAAATACGAAGGACAGCCTTCTCTTAGCTTATTTGTTATGCTTTTCAGATGGCCAGAGAACCTCTGATGAATGAAGAGTACTCAGTACGCAAGATTTCTCAGCTCGTTCTGCTTTCACATTACAGTGATTTCATAATAGCCCATATTTTCCCAGTTAGCTCATAAGAATGTCATGTGGGATAGCACCAGAAGTTTTACTAAAGACAAGATAAATCACATCTACTACTTTTTAGATTATCCTGT